CCATGTTAAAATGGCCTAGGAACACCACCGGTTGAATATCAAGGCATTTCAAGGCTTTTCACCAAGGTGGCCTAGAAAACTCAAAGTTAGGTCGATATGCTAAAATGGCCTAGAAAACCCACCAGGTGAATGGCGGCCTAACTTTTGCAATTTGAGTTTTCTAGGCCATCAAGTTTTTTTTAGTCTAGAAATGACCGGATATTCTCCTGGTGGACTTACTAGGCTATTTTGACATGGTGGCCTAGAAAAATCAGCTTGCAAAAGTTAGGCCATCACGTTAAAACGACACCTGACACAACTACGGTGGCCTAGAAAAAATAGAATTAGTTGTAAGTTCTCGTGGCCGTGGCCTAGAAAACTCGGGAATTTTCGACTAGACCTAAATCCCCCTTTTTCCAGAGGCCTCAACAAAATCACGCGTCACGGTCAAATCTCGGTGGCTCCGGGCGTCAGTGACCTACACAACGCTCGTCACATGTTGGCACTAGTCTGTGGCCTCGGAATGGGCGTCATCTCGGCTCTTTTCTACACAATGAACGCGTTTGCCACATTCGCCGGACCCGGTACCATCGGCCTACCGATGGCACTCGAAACGGGACACATTGATTCGAATCGAGCCGGAAAGTATCTTCCACTGTGCTACGTTCTATCTGCGATCCTTCTGACACTGTTCCACGTGGCATGGACCATCATGGTTTGGGATACGTGCCACAAAATTGGCCGGTTTCCAACGGCCTTTGTGCCAGGCGCCGCTGCCGTTGTATCGCATCTTTTTGTGGCGTTTTTGGTGAGATTTTTAGTTGGTTTCTTTGAAATTTTGAAAATCTGAATTCCTGTGATTTTTCAGAAAATGTCAGTGATAAAATTGAGTTTCCCACCTTTGATTTAGTCTAAACTCCATTTCGCGGCTCTCTAGCTCGCCTTCGGTGTTTGCGTACTTTTGGAGCTACAGTAACCCGAAAAATTCAAAATATCTTCAAAAATGAGCTAGAGAGCTCAAGTTTTTTGGGTTAGCAATTTTCTCGAGATTTCAAGTTCATTGAAAAATGGGATTTTTAGGAAGTTTGGAAAATGCTGAATGAAAAAAATCGAAAAACAGAATTCCGGTTGATTTTCAAAAAATTTCATTGATAAAATCGAGTTCCCCACCATTGAATTAGCCTAAACTTCAATTTTCAGCCATCTAGCTCGCATTCGGTGTTTGCGTACTTTTGGAGCTACAGTAACCCCCGAAAAACTGAAAAATTCAAAAAATCTTCGAACTGAAGCTAGAAAATTCTAGTTTTTTTTGGTTTAGATTCAGTTTTCTTTTGAGAATTTAAAATTTTTAAAAACCATAAAGTCTGCGATGTAATCAATTACAGTGATCTTTCGGAATAAAAAAATTGAAAATTTGAATTCCGGTGGATTTTCCAAAAATTTCATTGATAAAATTGAGTTTCCCACCATTGATTTAGTCTAAATCCCCCATTTTCAGCTCTCTAGCTCGCATTCGGTGTTTGCGTACTTTTGAAGCTACAGTAACCCCCAAAAATGCAAAAATCTTGAGAAATAAACTAGAAAGTTCTGGATTTTTCGAATTAGGCTGAAATTTCATGCATTTTCAGTGTTAACCCGAAAAACTAGAGCTTTCAGCTCGTTTTTGAAGATTTCTGCATTTTTCTGGGGTTACTGTAGCTTCAAAAGTACGCAAACACGAATTTCGAGCTAGAGAGCTGAAAATG